TAAGAAGCCTCCCTGAAGCAAAAAAACTATTTACAGCTTCACATATATCATCTTGACCTATGGGCCAGAAAGATTGAAAAAATAAGGAATTCAAACCATCTAGTCCTGGTGCTTTGTGGGGGTTAATGCTAAACATAGCTTCTCTGATTTCTTCAGATGTAATAGGTGCCACTAGATCTGAGTTCAATTCTTCTGACATGACATCTCTAATTCAATTGATTAGGCCATCACCAGTGGTTTTGCTTTCTGAGGAGAAGAGTTTATGATAGTATTCCTCTATGCAGTCTGCTATCTCTTCTTGGCTTTCCCAGAATGTGCAATCTTCTTTAATAAGTCTATGGATATGATTCTGCTTCCTTCTACTGGCTGTGTGAGCATGAAAAAACTTAGAGTTTTTATCCCCATGCTTGAGCCAATTAATTCTAGACTTCTGAAGCCAAAATTTCTCCTCCCAACTGTAGGCATCATTGAGCTCTTTCTTCATCTTATCCCATTTTGCCCAGTCTCTATGCCCTCCTTCTTCATTCATGTCTACCAATGCCTTACTGAGCTTTGCAATTTTCAGAGCATTATCCGATTTAAAAGAGCTGCTCCACTTCAACAGTTGCACTCTTGTTTCTCTAATTTTTTACTGAAGAGAAAACATAGGAATGCCTTCTTGAGGTTTAGACCAGGCCCTGCTGATTTGATCTTGAATCCCTTGCTTCTCTACCCATCTTAAGTCAAAACTAAATCTTTTTTTCCTGGAATGATTTTCAGTTAAGTTGCATAAGAGAAGAAGGCTGTGATCAGAAGAACTTCTGAATATGTTGGTAACTTGAGCACTCTGATTAGCAGACATCCATTCCAATGAACCAAACATTCTATCAATTCTTTCTTGCACAAACCCTTCCAACTCTCTGTTATTTCCCCAGGTGTATGGGTAACCTACCATCCCAATTTCTAGCATCCCCATGTCACTAATGAAAGGATTGAAGTTCTGGCATGAAGCTAATGATCTAGCTTTGCCCCCTCTTTTCTAATCAGGTTGAGTGATGTCATTGCAATCCCCTCTAAGAAACCAGTACTCACCCCAGCTGCTCTTTCTAGAGATAAGATAGCTCCATTGGTTCTGCCTCTCATTCTTGTTTGTGCTAGCATATAGGAATATCCCCCCAGCCAACTCTAGACTTAACTTCATCCCAATACTCAATCTCTATGCAAAATGAGGATTTAAGAATCTTGAAAATCTGGATGTTACCATCCCAAAAGAGGAGGAGCCCTCCACTCCTGCCCAGAGGCTCCACTGAGGTCCAACTATTTACAACCCCAGATTTCTACAGACTGTCTCCACAAAAGCATTCTTCTTTTTAGTTTCACAAATAAAGAAAAAACCTGGGTGATGGAGCCTACAAATCTCCTTGATTTGGGAAACTGTAGAGGGGCCACCCACACCTCTATAGTTCCACATCGCAACCTTCATTTAAACTGTTGGGGCCATTTAGGGTTGGCCTTCTCCACCTCATCATTCAATCTCTGTTTCTTTTCAGACTGCTAAGCATTTTCTGTTGTCTCCATTCCAGTTGATAGATTCTCAGATGGTAGCTGCCTCTTGTTGTTGGTCTGTTTAGGCATGAGAGGTTCTTCTATTTTAATTCCTGCCATTGGCTTCCTTTTCCACACTGATTTTTTTCTAGTCTTCTCCTGCTGAGTATTTGGGAGAGAAGATGATTTATGATTAAGAGTTTGGGCTGGGTTTGAACTTGGGGTGGGAATGTTGGGATTAGTAGTTTGCATTTCTGTTTCCAAGTTGTATGAGGCTGTGAGTGGGTGTTGTTTACTGGCTAAGGGTATAATGGGATTTGCTGTGATTGGATCAGTATCATTGGCTTTTATGGATTGGTAGGGAGAAACATTGCTAAGGGCATTATAATTGGCTTTCTTCTCTAAGTGAGTTTGGGGAACTTGGGTGTCAGTTTCCATGTTAGTGGGAGCAAGGAGGGGGGTTTGTTGGTTGGCTAATGGTGTGGTGAGATTTAAGTTAGGAGTTTCCTGATTACTGGTTTGTTGTGGTATTGGAGAAGAAACAACAGTTAGGGCTTTATCTGAGGATTTATAGGTAGATAGAGATTTAGTAGCAGGGTTTAAGTTGACTTGGTTAATGTTTTGGCTTTAAGAGGATGCATTTGGGGATTGAGAAGAATCTCTGGAGTTGATGTTGTTGAAAGTCGCACTCTGAGTTGAGTAGTACACTATATCCTGCGCTTTCAACCATTCCCCATAGAGGCCTTTTGCAAGACATCCATTGGCAATGTCAGTTGCTCTTTTTTCACAGCTTTTGTCAAGGTGTCCCAGGTATCCACAATAGAAACAGCAATTTACCAGCCTCTCGTATTTGAATTGGATTTGAATTCTGGTCTCCCCCATTTTCAAGTATGTGCACCTGAGCAAGGGTTGATTCACATCTATAACCGCCTTAAGTCTTAAGCATTTCCCTGCCAGAGGGCCGACTTGAGGGACAGAGACATCTATGGTTCTTTTAAATATTCTGCCAAATTTAACTCCCACTTCTGTGGATACCCAATGAATGGGGATATTCCACGCTTGAATCCAGATTTGGATCTCTTGAAAGCACGGGTGTTCCGCCGTAATGCCTTTTTCCCATGGATGCAGCCTCAAGAACTGGTTTTCATATGTCCAGTTGATGCCTTTTTCCCATGGATCTCTTGAAAGCACGAGTGTTTCGCCGTAATACCTTTTCTTTATCTTCATTGTCCGCGAAGATAAATTGAAAGAAGTTATTTGAGATTTCTCGCACCGTAACTGTTGCCTTTATATACCACATTTGACTGATAGCCCTTGTGAGCCCTATGATATTAGCTTTCCTCTGTCCCAGGATTTTCCCAAAGAGACTTCTTGAGCATTCCTCCTCACTGTTCTGCACATCATCCAGATCAATTTCGACTTCTTCCTTTTCCATCCCTTCTAACTGGATGGATTCTAGTTTCTCAGCTAGAGCGTCCCCCATGATGACTCTCAGATCTAGCGGCACTTGAAACTCTTTCACAATTCAGAGAATTCTGCTAGCATATAATTAGGGCAACAAAGAAACAAAATAAACACTAGGGCAACCAAAGAGAGAAAGGTCAAGAAATCTAGGGCACAAAATAAGGAATCTAGAGATGACGAGATGAAACTTATTTGCTGAATAAATGGGATAAAATTACTTTTGAGATGAGGATCATACCTGCTTTCGCCGGAATCGTGTCTCCTAAGAGGACTCAGCTCTCTAGAGAAAGAATTTCATGCCTCAAATGTACAATAAGAGTCTTTTCCCTCTGACTTTCAATGTTTTCCACTTTTTGACTTTTCTTTTCCTTCTTTTTTTTCCCCCAATTTTCATCCAGAAATCTACTAACCCAATCGAATGGACCAGATATCTAACCAATATTTGCTCAATTAATCTGACCATGTTCTTAGTTAGTTGCATGATTTCTCTTTTCTATTATGTCATTGTTTATTTAATTCTTGAAAGTGATTCCGACAAAGTGTTTTGGTGACTGTCCAATGATGGAATAACTCTCAATTTAAAAAATCTAAATAAATCATGGATCAAAATTGTAATTAATATAACTATAATTAATAATCAATATTTATATTTAATATTTGTTTGAAAATGGATAATATGTTACATCCAAATTTTTTAATTATATATAGCATGGTCGCCCGGATATTTCAGTTTTGTCAATAATAATAATAAAATAAAACGATATAGAATTGAAATAACCGAGTTTTTAAAAGTCAAGAAGGACCATTGAATCGAAATTCAAAAATTTATAATGAATAATTTAATTTAGTCGACTTCGTTCGCAACTGTGCAATCTACTAGTCACTATTATGCAATACGCGCAATCATAATGTGCACCCGATATACATAAAAAAAATTAATATAATAATATTAATATTTTTCATATTGTGTGATCGGTTCGATTATTTCAGTTATTTTCAAAAAATAAGGCCGACATTAAGCTTAAATATCCGTGATATAAAAATAAAAACACATAATCAAATCGATATATAAAGTTTCGAACATATATTTTGAGATCGAACGTCTGGTCTATATTGTGCAATCCGACAGTAATGAATGTGCAATTCGTCTAACACTATTGTGCAATTGCAGTTTGAATAATTTGATCCACACCAAACTCAAATAATTTTTAAATAGTATGTTTATTCATTTGATTTCCCAAATTAATCTAAATAATATATATGATTTATTATTTATATTATAAAAATATGTTTAATCTTTTTAATATATGTGAAAATGCATTCCTATGTTAATGTGCTTTCTCGAATGCATTAATGTGCAATTGGTCTAACGCTATGGTGCAATATAATAATTACAAATGTGCATATTGTTAACACTATTGTTCATTGTGGGTATTTTTGTGTACAAACATAACCTAACATCGGATTAAAAATAATCATTTTATTCAACTGGTTAATCAAATTAACTTAACTAATCGTAATAAATTGTTATCTATATTTATCATTTCAATATTTTTAGTTATTGATTTTATAATATTTAAATCTTTAGTCTTGTTTATAAAATGCAATATTTTGTTTTATAAAGTGCAACACGTTATTCTATAAAGTGCACTATTTTTATACGATCTTGGAAAAATTATGCGTATTCAAAACTAGTCTTAATATATATACTTGTGCATCGAATTAACCTAAGTATTTAAAATATTTTATTATTTATTATATAAAGTATATTTAATATTAATTTATTTATTATCTCATATTATTGTTTGTTAAAAATAAATAATATATTTATACATATATATTGAAATATAAAATAATTTATTTATATAGTTGGATCTGTTTTGTTATTTTATTATTTAATCATTTATTACTTATAAACAATATCAAAATTTTGGTAAATTGGACAATTTAAAATCTAAAACATTACGAGAACATCTTAAGAGACATTGTGCATTTATCACATTTTTTTCATATAAATAACCTGTGCACTT